CCAACTGAGCAACATGCTGCTCAGGAGGACAATGCAAGAGGTTGACCAGGGCTTGTTCACCAAGCCCCTGTGCCATATGCTCTGCCAACTCCCTATGATGTTGGGAGAGGTGAGGGAAGTCACTCCAGTCCATGTTAAGGACCATCTTAACCACACGCACGCTCAGAGAGACGGGTCGTGGGAAGGACTACTAGTGCTACCAAGTGTATACGGGCACTTCTACGAAGTTGCCTCGTGCTACTTGGCACACACCTTTAGCACAAGCGAGGAAGCGGTTAGACCGTCTTACCTTCGCGTGAGAGGGTGGTTATGTTGTTGGTCGACTGCTTAAGCAGTCGTACCACCACTTTCCTCTCGCTTAAGTGAGAGTGCAACGAACTTCTGAACAAGAAATCACCGACGCCACGTAGAAGCTTTTTTAGCTTCTCGTGCGTGGTGCTTATGTTTAAGTAAATTCAAGACTGAGCTATATTTAATGAATTATAATTAAATATAAACTTAACTACGGATTGGCTATATATGTATATAGATCGGATACGCGACTCTTTAGAAGGGTATCCTGACGCATGAACTTAAATTTAGATTTAAACCTGCGAATGACGTCCTTCTAAGACGTCGCGATGCCTAGCTTCAACTAGCGACATCCCTTCCCAAGTGAATCCATAAATCGATATCACATTCACGAGGGTGGATCACGTTTGTATATCGCACCCAAGTGACAGGTCAAAATTAATCATGGATACTTTTAGACCAAACATTAAGTATATTACTCAATGTTTACGTGTAACTAGATGCCCTGTTACACAGATTGAGCGTAGTTTCTCCGCTATTAAAGCCGATTTCAAAACTGCTATCACCGACCTCTCATTCGAAGGCGTGTTGCGCAGCAACCAGTTTGCATTGTTGGCCTCATTGTAACGGGTGAGCTCGTTACATAATTATGACACTTATATGAAGTGTCAATAAAAATATTATTATAACTAATAATATTTTGACAATATCGTCTTTTCTTATAATATTGTCCCTAGATCTCCTTGAAGTTGGAGATGCCCTCTAATTGGTTGATATGGGCCATCATATCAACCAACGCGCTAACCAATGACCGATGGACGCGCGCATTGAGTGGAGGCAAGTTGTCAACATACATAGTTGTAGTTTAATATAGCTAGCATAGGTTATAACAGATTAGTTTTATTAGATAGTTAACTATATTAAATACAGTTCTCTTTTTCCTCTACTTCTAAGCGTGTTGTTCAGAAGTAAAGCTTCCTCTGCCTCTTGTGTAAGAGAGGTTGTGAGGCACCTGCTTTCACTGTCATCAATGAAGGTAGACTATACTGGCATCAATATAGTCGGAGGGTGCCCCATTACACCTGGTAGCACTTCGTGGTCCGTTCAGCGACCACCGCACCATCCGCTATGGAATCAGCGGGTGATGAACGTCATCACGCAACGCGTGATGATTTCCGCTATTTGAGTGATCTCTAATGGAATGCGGTTCAGCGTATGGCTGAAACCATGGGCAACCCTGCCGTTGGTGCCATGTTGCTATTTCTTAGCGGAGACGACCAACATGCAACCATCGCCAAGTTCATACAACATGAGCTTGACGAAGTTATAAAGAAACTTACCTTGCTACAGGAGCAAGGTTCTCAACAGGTTGACCTGTTGAGAGAACAAGGCGCTCGACAAGCTGACTTGTTGATGCAGCAGGGTGCTCAACAGTCTGAACTGTTGAGACAACAGCAGGCTAGTGCTGTTGCTGCCGGGTCGACGTATACACGTCGACCCGAGTCCTTGAAGATTGATGTCTCAAGTACAAGGCAGTCGAAAGCGACTTCTTGTTAAGATGGTTCGTCAAACTCGACGATGCCATTGAGGCTCGTCGCATCGATGACGATGCGAAGAGGTCAAGTTCGCCATGTCGAACTTGGCAGGACGTGGTCCTTAGGGCTCAGACTGCATGACCCAGACGTTTTCCCAACGTATGATGTCTTCAAGGCGCGGCTCAAACACACCTTTCAACCGTCTCGCGCCGAATTCAGGGCTCCAGCTGAGCTCCTGGATTTAAAACAGGGTAAGCGTGATATACACGCTTACGCTCAACACGTACGATACCTCGTTAGTTGTATCGTGCTTAACCCAATAGATGAACACACGCAGGTTAATGTGTTCATCAAGGGTCTGACAGATGGTCCTGTTAAGACCCACCTGTTCCGCTTAAAACTAGAATCGCTGGATCAAGCGATCTCTGCAGCGGAAAAGGAGGACTTTAGCCTACAACAGGCTCACGTCCACTCGGTGTCCTATCGTCCACCGAGGCGACAGGAGGGCGGAGGTCCAGACCCAATGGACCTTACCTATGTAGAGAGCGAGCGACCTCTCTCTCCAGGGCACAAGCGATTGCAAAAGTGTAATCGCTGTCAGAAATTGGGCCACTACGCTTATAAGAGTAGTGCCCCACGTCCAGTTTCTCGTAACACTGGAAGTGACGATAGATCGACTGCCAAGAAAAGCAAGAGACGTGGATCCTACGTTGCTGCAGAAACGCAACAACGTGATGGACCATCAATAATGGTCGGGATCAGTAGGGGCGGAGCGCCCTACTGATCCAGCAACGTCAAGAGAGTTCGCGGGACTCTTGACGAAGGTTGCTACCAACAGACAGTCACTGTGTGTTGCCGCTCCCAGTGATGAGGTATCCCTCATCACCTTGACGAAAGAAGTAACAAAGAACATGCCACTTCGCGCCCTAGTTGATTGTGGGGCGTCAAACAACTTTGTTCGACGCCAATCGCTATATGATCGTAGGCTCAAATATGTTGAGCTCGAGACCCCTCCAACGAGGATGACGGTGCGCCTTGCAACTGGCGCATCCTTAACAGTAATGAAACGTGTAGTGGGAATTCACTACACGCTTGAAGGCAAAAAGTACGATGATGATTTCATCGTACTCGATTTGGATGACAAATTTGATGTCATCCTAAGATTACCATGGCTTAGAAGGTACGAGCCATGGGTCAGCTGGCAACATCGAACCGTGAAGATGCCTGCCGCTTGTTCATCAGATGGCCATCTGATGAACGTCTTGGAGCGTTCACAATCGTGTGAATGTACTACGAGTGAGTGCGATGGCCTCACTTGTGGTCCGGTCGTTACTACGACTGCACAAGAACTCAGCGCGGCAATTAGACACGCTGTAGAGCAAGCTGCCGGCGGCTGTGCACAAGCACAGGCAGCGCCGAAGGTCCACCACTCGAGTAAGTCGAGTGGGCCGGGACATGCATGCTATCCTAATGGGCAACAATCACAAAAGAGCAAATCTGTTACCCAGAAGCGGCATCACGGTAATTTTAGATCAATTGGAGAGTTGATCGTAGAGGATCTCGCTGTGGTTGCGCAGCCTCAGAGAGAGAGAGAGTCGATGGAACAAGTTTTATCGAGCCTGAGTAAATAAGTCCACAGGAAGTAACCGAGACGTTGAACGTCTTGGTTAATGACGGATCAAACGTAGGCGCTTGTGGTTGCACCTCCGAAGTTTATTTCGGAGATAACTCAGTTGCCTACGCTAGAACCTAAAAGGTTCTTGCGTGATCTGCGTAGTGGCAAAGTCAAGCAGATCTGTGTGCTCGTCGCAGAGGACGAGTACATGACTGACATTCGGTCAGCAACAGTTATTGCCGAGAACGAACGGGTTCTCAGCAGCTCATCAATGGACGAAAGTGTCCTTTATTAGAAGACTCGGATTGAGCGACATACATCGCAAACCTGGGAGTCGCTGAAGTCAAAACTTTCGTATCAATATTTGGTCGAATATAAGGATGTATTCCCTGAATCCGTTCCGTGCGAGTTGCCTAAGGAAAAAGGTATTCGACACGAGATCGACCTAGTTCCAGGCACAAAATATTGTGTCATGAAGCAGTGGCCACTGCCTCGGGAACAGGTCGAGGCGATCGACAAGTTCTTTGCCGATCGCCTATCAGCGGTCCATGTGAGGGAGTCAACTTCACCTCACAGCTCTCCGACCTTCTGTGTGCGCAAGGCCACAGGAGGGTGGCGGATAGTACACGCTTTCAACAAGTTGAAAGCTGCAACGATACCGGCGCAAACGCCGATACAGAGAAAGGACGTAATCATAGATGGTATGTCTAGAGTACCATCTTTTCGTCCATGGATCTGATGGATGGTTTCTATCAGATCCTAATGCGTGAACGGGACATCCCGTACACAGCAGTGAGCACTCCCAGTGGTATGCTCTGAGAATGGTTGGTGATGCCGCAAGGGGTTAGTAATGCACCAGCCACATTCAATAGATGTGAAACACATCTATTGAGACCGGTGCGCGAATTCGGACCGAGTTACTTCGATGATGTGTTCATCCATAGCCGGGCTATGGACGGGAAAACAGACGTGGAAGTCCATAGACTTCACGTCCGTAAGGTTCTTACACATATGCGCGAGCATAAGTTGTACGCCAACCTCAAGAAGTGTATATTCGTAGCTAGCAAAATACCACTTCTTGGGTGCATCGTCGGAAAGAACGGCGTAGGTAATGACCCTTGTCGTTGATTCGGGTGCATTACAGAATTGTACAAATTTTTCGGTTCTGTAGAAGATTTCGACGAGTTATAAGTCGCTTTGCCAGGATGGCAAGCGAGAAGAGGCGATTTCGCTTAGCAAACGGCGCGTCTCGTGAAAGCGGAGGATGTTCCACTTGATCTCACCTTAAGCTTTAATGACTTCTCTTGTGACACTTTTTCTCGACTAATGACACGTTTTTCTTGACTTTGTGATACGGGGATGGAAAGACAAGGATTGAGAGAAAGAAGTAGATAGACGCATTTCAGGCTCGGCGAGCTAAATATTGCCACAACATGGACAAAATGCATTGCATAGAAAATGACTGGAGACAACAGCTCTTTTTAAAAAATGTCGGTGATGTATGTCACACACTCAATTCTTTCAGCCAATTAGAAAGCTATTACTCTCTATTGTCAAAAATGACAGACACAACATACAACAGTTGGGGCTGTTCGGCAGATCGTTTCGATGGCTCCATGTGTCTCGGTATCGATCTAGGCACGACGAACTCATGTACGTCACAATAACATTAATAATTCTCTCTTGTGTCATGTAGTTTTTGATGTTTTTGACCTTTTAGGTGTCGGAATTTGGCACATTGAGCGTCATCATGTCAAAATTCTAAAAAATCGCGTGGATCGAGGTCGTACAACGCCTTCTGTTGTTCGATTTGACCCAGATAGTCAACATGTAGATGTCGGTAATGAGGCTGTAAAATTGGAGACGCTAAATCCTGTCAAAAACACAATCCGCTCGGTCAAAAGACTACTTGGTCAAAAATTCAAGAGTCAAGCAACTGATGTGGCTAGAATCTATGCCTCTTATGACGTGGTCCCCACAGATCAAGGCAATGTAGCGATACAAGTAGCTCGAGGAAAAAAGAAGGTTTACGTGCAACCTGAAGAGATTTCGGCTTGTGTGCTGAAAGAACTTAAATCTTCAGCTGAAAGCTATTTTGACGGACACACCATTTTTGACAATGTGGTGATTACCGTTCCTGCATATTTCAGTGATTCTCAAAGAAAAGCGACACTTATTAGTGCATCCATGGCTGGATTTAAAGCTATAAGACTATTGAACGAACCTACAGCAGCGGCGATGGCGTACGGATTGTTTTTGTCAGGGAAGAAATTGGTAACAGTTTTTGACTTTGGAGGAGGGACATTGGATGTATCGTTGCTGAGTATTGAAGACGGCAAATTTGAGGTTTTAGGGATTGGAGGGGATACAAATTTAGGAGGAGACGATATCGATAATGTCCTGGTAGAACATTTGCTGGAGGTCTTGTATAAGCATCATGATGTGACTCGAGCACAAGTGGAAGATGCAGACATGGTGAGACTGAAGAGAGAGGTGGAGAAGGCCAAGATTAAACTCTCGGAAGAGGACTATGCGGATATTGTCGGTTTAAAAATTTCTGCTGTGCCCAAGTTCAAGTATACGCTCACGCGACGCAAATTTGAAGAGCTGTGTGACCCGATCTGGAAAAAGTGGGAGGCGTGTGTGGGTGTGAGCTGTAAAGGGAAAGCAGGGTTACTTACAATGTGCTTTGTCGTGTGGAAATCGATGAACGCAGGTGCCTTCGGATCGTGTCGAGTGTGCTGAAAGAAGCAGAGGTAGAAACTACTGATATTGATGAAGTGATCCTTGTGGGAGGCTCCACTCGAATCCCGATTTTGCGCACAAAGATCTCAGAGACTTTTGATGGCAAGGTACGATGTAATCCGCTGTCATCTTGATATTCTGCTGCTTACAATTGCATGTGCCTCAGGAACTGTGCATGTCCGTTAATGCTGACGAAGTGGTGTGCGAGGGAGCCGCTATCCAGGCAGCCATCTTGAGCGGCATAGACCAGCGCGTGTTCCGCGACGTGCTCATGATGGATGTCCTCCCACTGCCTATTGGACTTGAGACGGCGGACGGGAGCATGGAGGTGATCCTCCCTAGGAATGCACGGATCCCAACAACGGTGACGAAGTACTTCCAGACCTATAAAGACAATCAGCGTGGACTAACCGTCGAGGTCTATGAAGGTGAAAAGGAGATTGCCAAGGAAAATGATCACATCTGCTACTTCAATTTTGCAATTCCTCGAAACAAAATTGGTAAAGCGGGCGAATTCGCTCATCCCGTCACTTTCACCATGAATGCTAGTGGAATTCTGCAGGTGCAGGCCGGAGTTCATCATGATTCTGAGGAAACGCCCATGTCAAAGGCTGCAATATTCCTCATGATGGGCTACATCTTCGCACTCTTTGCCTTCTACGTATTTTTGCGCATCTTTTTCACCGAGGAGAGAAGTATTGCCGCATGATACGAGTTTACTCGGTTGTGGGGGCTGTTTAATACATTTGAAAAGTTTCACATTTTGGTTTACTATTGTCATGACGTTTGGTAACGTTCAAGGGGTGCTGTAATTAAAGATGCCAAGTACTTGTCAATTAGCTTCGATCGTTTGACGTTAAAAGTCTCTAGCGTGTATTCATCATCTGACTTCGTCAATTCTAGCGGATAATACTCGTCATGGCGTGAACCCGTTATATAACGTTGGCACAAAGATGAAGTGTCAATGTGAATATTGTCTCAACTGATCATATTGTCGTCGCATTTCCTTGAAGCTGGAGATGCTCCTCTTACTATCTGTATATGCCATGGTATCAGCCAACGCACTGGTCAATGAAGGATAGACGCGCACAATGAGTGAAAGGCAGTCAAACATCATACATATTATTAGTTACATATAGTTAAAGTAAGGCTATAAACGATTTAGTTTATTGATAAATTTAACTATAACAAATACAGTTCTCTGGTTGATACGATGGCCCATATCAACCAATGAGAGGGCATCTCCAACTTCAAGGTGATCTAGGGACAATATTATAAGAAAAATATTGTCAAATATTATTAGTTATAATAATATTTTTATTGACACTTCATACAAGTGTCAATATTATGTAACAGGCTCACCCCGTTACATCACCCCCCCTCAACCAACAGTCACATTAGTGACTGTTTAGTGACTATGGGAAGGGAGCATTTGTTGTTTTTCTTTTATTCGTTGACACAGAGTTAGTCGTTGACTACTCTGGTGAATCGGACGACGCATACAACTCAAAGCCACCTGTTTCACTCCCGACCTCTTCCGGGGTGATACCTCGTCGTCGAATCTTACGAAGAGGGATCGTGGTACATTGAGTGAATCAATGTACCGAGAAATGCTTGGGTCGTCTGATGAATCAGACGACTCGCCAAACGAGTCGAGGGATATGGGGACCGTAAGGGTGATGTCAGTGCTTCTACTGACATCAATGCACGTGAAGTCGGTACTTCTGTTGACATGGTGTCGGTACTTCTGTTGACACCACGCAGGAGGCTTTAGACCGCAACGTATTGCGTCTTGCTCCTGATCGCAAGCCATGGATGCTACCTAAGCATCTGCTTGATCGTTGGTCTGGAAAGACCAACGAACGGTTTCCCATACCGTTGTTTGATGTGTCAAAGCTTCATGGCCTTGACGCCAGTGCGAAGAATTTTCGCACTGAAAACGACTATTACATCGAAGTGTTTCTTGAACATCGATGGTATGGCGCACACAAGAAGCGTGAGGCTGACGCGTTCCTCCAATCTTGGAACGCGTTTATCACCAACGTTTTAAACGTTGGGAAAGAGGCTTGGTTTCAAAGACTTTATGCTAGCCGCAATAAGTTTGAGAAACGAAGTACGTCCGGTGCATGCTATCGTTTGCACCTGTTGTCTAGAGAGGCAGGCCTGTTATGCCTCTCTTGAGGCGACCCATGCCCGGGGTGCCTGAGCACCTCGAGAGCGCCTAAGGAGGCGTACCTCCTTACTGAGCCCTGGTGGAGGGCTCGCATCTCTTCTGAGATGCGTGAAGGGATTGCTACTTTGCAATTCCTTTACGAGCGCGCTGGGCGCTCGTTTTTCGATGGTCCTTCACCATCGGGTGTTCCTTGTACTGTTCGACAAGGCCACGAACGTCGGCCATCAGCTGGGCCCGAGGTTCCCAGCTATCCGCCGAAGGCGGATAGCCACGCCACCGGACGAGATAACTCGTCCGACGTCTCTTCATCTCGCGGTGATTTAGTAAGCGTTCCACGAGGAAGCGCTTCCCACCATGGGAGTCCACCAGCGGATGCGGTGGTGGAGGGAAAACCCTATCCAATTCTTTCATCGGACTTGTCTGCTGAGTTAGACGGGTATGCCCGTGTAACTCGTGAGATACGTTGTGATGTTGATCACGAACGGGATAATCGTCGCCTCTTAGAGGACATTGTGCGACAGCTTGGGTTTGACCATGAGAAGTATCGGGCAAACAATGCTGTCGCATTATTGGAGAATGAACGGCGACTTCATTTTCTAAGTAACGAGCTGGCGACAGCTCGTCAGGAGATCGTCCAATATCATGGGACGATCTCATCTTTACACGACCAGGTATCGAATCTGGTTCGTGACAACAAGAATCTGAAGGGGATTCTTGAAAGTAATGGCTATCTTCGTCGTTCGAAGAAGCCGCGTACTGAACGTACGGACGAAGACGTCCCACGTAAAATGTAGAATGCGTACGCATCCTGCGTGGCAACTCGATCGTGTATGCGTTGCCTAGGCGGCGCAATACACGAAACGGGCCGATGTACTTGGGCAACAATTTATTGCTGCCCACGTTAGTCACTACATGTTTAGGTAGGTTTACTGTTGACAGTAAAACTAAATCACCTTCAATAAATGTGTGAGCATTTGCCCTTCCATTATTGTCTGCGTTTCGCTTTTTCTTATCCACCGCTTCTGCGATGGAGCCTTGCACGAAACGGACTACCGCTTCACGAGTCAGCAGGATATCCTCAGCTGACTCGTTGCTTTTGGCTGCAGTGCATTGTAAGTGCACTGCAGAGATATCGGTTACTAATTCAGCGAGAACATTACTGTTCTCACTTGTGATACCTCGAACGATGCTGATATCTTCAGCATCGTTATCAGTAAGAGCGTCATCGCTCTTACTTTCTTCCTCTTCACCGAAGTCGAATGGTACGACTTCGGTTACTTTCGCGTCAACCATAACATCGTCGCGTGATGAGCAAGAGACAGATTGGTTCTCGCTAGAGCGAGTCCCTCCCCCTCTTAAGTTAGAGTCACCCTCTACTAAGGCGGGGACACGTGGATGGCGAAAGCCATTCACGTAGAACGTGTTAGAAACGATCGTTTTTTGACAGGTTGCAAGGTGTTGAAGGCAAGGGCTATACCCTGTGCCCGGTAAGTTGCGACCGCACCCGAATTGCTAATGTTGTGACATCTTAACAGATGTGGCGAAGCGGGATAGACGAAGACTACAGACTAGACATGGTATATAGTCGCAGTTGACTCTATCGTACATGTTAGAGCACTAGCGAAGGAAAGTAGTTAATGCTTAATACATTTTACTTTTACTTCTACCTCTACGTGCACAAGTGCACCACTACTTCACTCCACTCTTACAGGTTATGAGCCCAACGGAACGTGTTGTGGGCAAGCTCAAACAGGCTATGCCTAACGTGGCAGTCGGCGACCCGAATCGGGTTAACGACGACCACCTCGATGAAAAGTCTGCAATGCCTGATGCGGCACTGGGCAAGGTGCTTGCCATGCTCGGAGACCTATCTGATCCGCTGAATCGGATGGAGGTCTCCCAGAAGGAGCATGCCGTTGGACACCGGAAGGACTTTGCGGAGTCAAGCGTCTTTGTTTCGGCTCTGGGAGCGGGTAGAGGGATGAACATCCAGGCTTTGTAACTTACCCCTCCCCGGAAGAGGTCACCGAACGACCTGTCGCCGGCTACGTACTTTGGAGCCAGGCGACACTACGAAGCTGATGATGCAAATCATCGAGCAGGCCATGTTGCAGCAGACCGCAACATGGGACAAGCACCGGAACCTGCACATTTTATGGCAGGGGTGCCAGGCTATTACTTCGACGCGGGTATGCCGAACGTGATGCATGCCAACCCGGGACAAAAGGTTGTGGGGATGCCAGACGCGCAATATCGGAAGCTTGCACTACAACCTTTGATGGGAAGGAACTATACCATGGTCTTGGTAGTGGATTCCTCGGATGGGGCAAGGAATTTGTGCATCAAGTTGGATTTGCCGAGCGTGCGTGTGGATTCACGTGGCCGGAAGACATCAAGGTGGATGTCTTAGGAAAACACCTGGCCGATAAGGCACAGACGTACTATCGTCGTCAAGTGGAGACTTGGTGGTGTGAACGTCAAAACCTGGAGCATGCTATGCAAAGGCTGCTTTAGAACTTCAGCACCAAAATCACGCCTGCCCAAAGCATGAAATTGTTTACGGCGCCCAAGGCACCTCACAGAAGTTGGACGGACCATTTCCTGTACCTGACGGCAGTCAGTGATGCTTGCGGAGGGGCGAATACCCTGGTGTTGGATAACATCGTCCATTACGCGGACCAGCATATGCGAATGACCATGATGTCCAGGCTGGACATCCATCGGATCGACTGCTTGCGCCAAGCCGAGGAATTAGCACAGTTCGCCCAGTCAACGGAGATTGACAACCACTCAAAGCATCTCGGACGTGACGTGGTCAATGCTATTGAACCAAGGAAGGAGCCAAGAGACAAGGTCAAGCACAAGGTGCTGAAGGAATCGAATGACAATGACCAACGGACGTGCTACAGATGCGGCGAGGTGGGACATATCAAGTCGATGTGCCTTGAGAGACAGATGTCCAAGGTCCCAAGACAAAGTTTCACATTGGCGATCGACAATGGTGATCGTCTCCAAGACAATCACTGGATCCTCGACAGTGGGTCGAGCAGACACCTTGTCAACGACTTGTCTCTGCTCTTTAACCCGAGCGACTGTCGAAACGAATGCTTGACAGCCGCAACGGATGGAGGTGTGCTTCGAATTACCAAGCGAGGGAGTGTCAACATTGAAGTTGTTGCACTCGGGGTTGTGAATACTATCCGACTCCTCGATGTACAGCACGCCGCGAACCTCGAGCGAAACATCATCTCGTACGGTAAGCTCGAGGCTAAGGGATGTGTACTTGAGTACCGAGGAGAGAGACCTGTGTTAACCTCTGGGTTTGGAGGTGCACCGATTATGGATGTGGATTGCAACAACTATGTGCTAGTTGTTGCAGTGACAGGACAATGCAACAAGACCTTACATTTACCACCAAGGGAGATGACGGCTGCTTTCAATTCACCTGAATATAAATCCGATTCGGATATTCAGAGTGGTAACTTGATGCAGTTCCATCGTCGCTTGGGTCACCTGTGTTACGACACGATCATCAA